TGCCATTTTCAACAGACATTGCCTTTTGTTTGTTTGTTTGTTTAAAAGGAAGACAGCGATATTGCATTGGCAAATTCCCCATAGAAAGAAAGAGTGGAACAAAAGAACAATAAAGGCACCTCAACTTTTCCTCATTTATGTAGGACAGTCTTATAATATGCATCCAGATATCCTCCAATCACACAAGCTGAAAATTGTTCCACTTTACTGCAGTTCTGTAACCATGCGGGAACCAATCCTGTCTGTGTTCTGTGGACATCTAAAATTCCTGCTGAATGACTTGCCATGGGAGCGTGTTACCAGTGACCCAGGGCTGTGGCGGAAGGAGGGTGCAGGTGGGGGTGGGAGAGAGCCCAGGGCTGGGGCAGCAGGTGGTGTGTGGGGGGGGAGCCCAGGGCTGGGGCAGCAGGGGTGTGCAGCGAGGAACCCAGGGCTGGGACGGAGGGCAGTCGAAATTTTTTTTTTTTTGCTTGGGCGGCAAAAAAACTAGAGCCAGCCCTGGCTCTACCCAGCTTACTTTCATCCAGTGATTCTAGTGTATCACCATATCAAGTATTTGTATCACCAACATTCACTAGATCAAGCCTCTTAACCCTCCTGTGAGCTAAGCAAGTATTTACAGATGGACAACAAGTCAAACATGCATGGTGTGTGGAGGACCATTGAGACAGAATAACTAGTTGATGGCATCACACAAAAATGTTCCCAGATCTGGAAAATCTCTGGGGCAACCCAGCAGGCAGCACCTGATGGGGGTCAGGGCACACATCCCTTCATGCATCAGAGTCTGACAGCTGGAAGCGCTGGGGTGTCTTAGTCCATCCTGACAACATGGCCAAAGAGCATCCAACACAGCTTTGGAATATAATGAAGGAAGGAAGGCTGGATCTCTGAGAGGCTGACATTTTGTACAAAGTAAATCACTAAGGTCATGCAGCAAGTCTGAGACAACTGGCACTCATGACTGTCCCAATCCCCCTTGTCACCGCACTACAACCCTGCTGGTACTCCATGTTTTTAGTCAATGTAGAACACTTCCACAGTAAAAAACATACAGGGGCAAGTATAATTGACCTATTTAAACTAATGTTCACTCATGCTGGTAAGAGGCCAAGCTACCTGGAAGCAGTTAATCAGTAGCCCTAGTTACTGACTGCTGGTCTAAAGACATTTTAAAAGATTAAGACTTGCATATTTTGCATCTATTACTGTGTTTATGATAACGAACCTCACATCAGTTACACAAGTATAAATTTTGCAAATGGGATAAGAGGAAGGAGAAATAAGATTAAAATTAGATCATGCTAGTAAGAGGCTGAGGAAAAAGGTGGGGGGGGAGGTCTCCTCAGTATCCCATTTCTTGCTATCCTTGCCACACATCTTGAAGCATCAGCCAGTTCATCGCACTCTCTCTTCCCTGGACCTTAGATACTCTTGATTCTCAAGTCAATATCACGTGTTCAGGTATCCCATTTAACACAAGAGAACCTCTTGCTGCCAGGCACCTGGTATTATAATCTTTGACCGGCTACATAACAAGCCTATTAACTGCACTAGCATCCTAGGCAATGCACTGAATACGCTGTTAAGATGATCTTTGACCTCAGAAGCAAGCAGCAGCCGCCACCACTGCCACTGCTAAGTGGACTCTACCATTGCCAGTTCAGGAAGTTCAACAAGCAGCTTTCCAAGGCTGAGCACTTCCTACTATTGAGAGCAGTCGCCCAGGGCCTTGGAGACTAGTAGGGGAAAGCCCAGGAGGAGACTTCAAATTTTTCGCCAAACACCCTGTAAGGACAGCACCACATTACACAGATACTGTAACCAGGAGCCTGCTATCTAGGTACTTGTATTCAAGGCCTGTGAGGGCCATACAAGCACCTACTCCGAACACATATGGCCTGAATGCTGAACTGCACCTCAAGGTTTGATTCAGCCAAACCTAAAGAAAGTGACTTGTCACCATTTTACAGGAATAAAAATGCCCTGAAGTATAGCATTTCCTTAGGCTGTGATTTTAAAGGAGACTAAGGGATCCCGACAGCCATATTCTATTGGCTTTAAAGTGGATTTGGGTGCCCAACTCCTTGGCTCCTCTGAAATCCCAGGCTAAAAGGCGCTAGAGAGTGTAACAAATACTTGTTTTAGGACACTAGTGTAAGTCTCTAGCTTGTACAGTTTCCTGAGGACTCTAAATACTGGAACAATCTATGGCCACTTACAGCTTTATGCCTATCACAAAGCCACATGCCATGGACACCACTGGAACTGACAGCAACAGATCTCAGATCCTCCTACTCCAAGAGGACAGGCCTATCACTTGAGCTAAAGAAAATCTCCTTTAGCTCTTAGCAATATAGGGCCTATGTCTCAAGTGAGCAGCTCTGACTATCCAGATGAATGTAATCAATAACGTTGATCTTTCACCACAAGAATTATGAGTCACCCATGATGTTAGTTACTGGACGCCGAGGGCAAAACCTGATAAAAGATGTCAATATTTTATTAGTTAACCTCAAGTTTAAACAAGTCCTATGCAGGCAGGAGGACATGTTCCCATGTCAAAATGAAATTTAAAAAACCTAATGCAAAGTTGAGAGAAAACTTAAAATCACACTGCTTTGATAGGGAAAAAGTCACCCTCCAGTGAGCTATTCTCAATGGCAGCATACCACTTACTTTTATATAGCATCTTTCGTCTCTGAAGGATCCCAGACTAAGGAGGGATAGAAGAGATTTCAAGTACATAAAAGGTTATTACAAGGAAGAGGGAGAACAATTGTTCTCGTTAACCTCTGAAGATAGGACAAGAAGCAATGGGCTTAAACGGCAGTGAGAGCTGTTTAAGTTGGACATTAGGAAAAACTTCTTAACTGTCAGGGTAGCTAAACACTGAAATAAATTGCCTAGGGAGGTTGTGAAATCTCCATCATTGAAGGTTTTTAATAGCAGGTTAGACAAACACCTGTCTGGGATGGTCTAGATAATATTCAGTCCTGCTTTAGTTCTGCCTTGAGTGGAGTGGACTGGACTAGACTAGACGACTTCGAGGTCCCTTCCAGTCCTACAATTCTATGACCTTATCTATACTAGGCAAGTTTGAACCATTGCAGCTTCATCAGTGGTAGCACTAGAGTAAAGCAGGCACAAGGTGTTTTTCTTTGTTTTTTTTTAAATCAAAACATCATCTTTCCCTGCTTAAAGAGGGTCTACACAGCACAGGGGGAAAGATTCCAGCAGCCACCAGTTAGAGCTAGCAGAACATAGGTAAAGTATTGGCAGGAGAGCGAGTCAGATGAAACAACTGGCCTGGGAATCTGGAAGCTCCGGAGTCTCTAGCCCCAGGGCAGACTCATGGTTTGGCTGCTGTCCTCAAGCCACAGGCCTGGGAGCCCCAGCAACTTTGGAGTGAAACTGGCATTCTTCTGACAGTCACTGTTGCAATAAACAATGTCATTCACTCCACAGTGGTAGGTTGGTCTGGTGGAGCAATTTTTCATTTGGAAACACCATTTCAGAACATCTGGTTTTGTTGTCGTTCAAAACTGAACCATATTTGGAAATAGCACAAAATTTCAGGGAAAAGGAACGTCGCAGCTTTGCTCATAGCCCTAATTGGTTCAGGTTTGTGAGGTCTACTTATATTCCTTTTGTGCTAACCCTTCTGGTCTTCTATTGCTACCTATCCCATGGACCAAATACTTCATTTTCATTAACAAATGCTGCCGTTATGTCACTTAGCAATTAGAATTAGTGTTGCTTGGGAAGGGAATGGAAACCTTAAAATATACTACAGCACAGATAGTTAGTGTTAGCACGAACCCAGAGCTTTCTACAGCATCCTTCACTTTAGGAACGGTTAGCATTCTGAACACATAAGGGGCAATCCATGATGCATTATAGTACTCAGTAAAGCAATAGTTTACTGAAGTGCCCAGGACTTGGGGGTCATTAGCATTGCTCAATATAGTTACCAATGCATTTTAGGGGGTCAGGAGGAAGCATGGAAGCAGAGAGCCCCAGCATCCAGACATCACTCCTGTAATGCTGGATGGGAAGGAGGGCAAGTTTTAGCCATTTGCACAAGGAGTAGAGAAGAAAAAAATAATACACTGTGGGAAGTGCAAGATCCTCACACCCCAGCCTTGCTCATTGCCACCCTCCCACCCCCTTCCCAGCCATCCCCAGATGAGGGAGAAGAGGAGTGCTTCAGGTAACAAGCCATGGCTGACCAGACCTCCCCAGTCTGTCATTTGTGCATCTGAGCCCAACTCCTCACATTACCATACATAAATACTTCATGTCAATAGTATTTGCCCCTCATCTCGTTTACTCCTTACAAGAACTGACTCATTTCTACCTTAGTATCCTCTATGGACCAGCTTTACTGCTTATTTATTTCAGGGGGAGTTAGAGGGGCCAGCAGCTGGCAGGATCAAAGAAGAAGAATTCACTCATTAGAACAGAATTCATGTTCCTGTTGCAGGAGACACGGCAGATGGGGAGTAATCAATCAACCCTGGGCTAGCTGGGGTTAGTCTGCACTTCAAGCCACAGGTGTACATTTCAATACCCAGACAGCTACAGCACACTTTTCCTGTCCTGTATGCCCCCCTCCCCTCCATCTCTGTTGGGTGAGGAAATTATTATCGACCTAGCCCTGCCAGGGGATCAGAGTAGGTGACCTAGGGAGGTCCCTTCCAGCCGTAGACTGCTCTGAGCCTCAGTGGGGGGATTTGAAACATTAGCCAGGTCAGCACCTCAGCACGCAGGGAGCTGGAGCTCGAGAGAGCTCAGTAAGGCGGATCTGGAGGCGAGGGGGCACGATACAGCTAGTGGGGGGCACGATACAGCTAGTGGGGGGGCTAGGGGATGAGGAGGAACCTGGGCACTTGGTGCCACTCCAGCCTTTGATGGGGGGCGGCAAAGGGGACGCCAGACCGGGTCGGCCCAGCGCAGGATGCAAACCCCCCACGGCTCCCCCCGGGCGCGGGTCTCACCTTGATGACCTGGTCCCGGACCATGCTGGGCAGGACGAAGAGCAGGACAAGGCCGCACAGGGCGAAGACCAGCCCGGCCAGCCCCAGCGCCAGGGGGGCTCTGCGCCCCGCGGGAGCGGCCATGGCGAGCGGAGAAACGTCCCGCACAGCGCAGCCACCAGCCGGGCCTCGCTGCCGGCTCTGCCCGCGGCTCTGCTGCAGCCAGCGGGGGGAGAGCGCGGCCGGCCGCGATTTTATTCCCTCCGGCCGCGCCGGGACCGCCCCCTCGGCCGGCTCTGCCCAGCGGTCGGCGGGGAAGGGCCGCCCCCGCCGCGGGAGACCCGGCTACAGCGCCCCGCCTCCCTCCCCGCCCCGAGGGTCAGGCGCCTGGGGAGCTTCTCTATTCCCCGCCCTCGATCCTGGGGAGCTTCTCCAACCTCACCTCCCCCACGATCCTGGGGAACTTTTTT